ACAGTGCTCTGACAAAACCTGACAGCGTTAGATTTCTCCCCCCCTCTTCTTTGGAAATGCTTTGAATATTTTAAAAAGTGCTTAGCACAGTGCCTGGGACATAGTAGGTACTGTGTTAATGCTTATCCTCCTTCCCATTAATGACAAAATATAGCCATGAAGAATGTAATTTTTAAGTCTCCTAAGAAAGTTTTGTGTTACCCAAAGGGCAATGGAAAGATACATGGTAGTCATGAATAAGTGACAATATATTACTAATGAAGAACTGGACAGGAGAAGCAGCATAAAATGTCAGAAAAAAATATTGCCAGAATTTAAAAAAAAATTAAAAAAACCAAAATAAAACTTTAGTGCAGTAATGTAGTGACAATGAATGATAACCATTCAATATACAACTCATTTACTTCACTGGTATACAAATAGAATCAAGAGCTCCAGAGCAAGCCCTGTTGGATATAGGGCAGATTTCCTATTTAGTATTTATCATTAGTAAAAGTTACACTGGATGAGAAGGCATGGATGGGAAATAATCTGCATTGTTGGAAGGTGTGTTCATAACAATGAGGTTACTGTTCTATTCAAGTATCAAAGCATTAATAATGATAAAGCAGTATATCCCATATCATCATTAAACAACCTAATTTGGAGTTAGATACATAGATTCAAATCTAAGCTCTTTAGCTTAGCACCTTGTGACCTTAGCATCTTGGTCAAGTAATTTAACCTTGCTTCTTCTCAATTTTCTCTACGTATTCATCAGCAAATGTTAATAATTCTTCAATTTATATAGCCTGGTCAAAATGTTCCCATTTCAAGCACATACAAGCTAAGTTTACAAAAGTAATTTTCATAAAGTTACAAAATTCCAAAGAGGAACAGTACTTTAGTAATCATATAGTACAATCTCATTTCTCAGATGAAGAAACTGTACCTACCACCCGTGGAACTTTAGGGATGTACTTGAGCTCACATCATAAAAAAGCTCAGGGAAGCAATGAGGTTTCCTCACTCTAAGCTTTATGGTTTTTGGTAAGGCATTTAAGGGTCATGAGTCAGTGTCAGAAAGAAAATTCTATCATCTTTTTTTTTAAATTTCCTTAACATCTGATACAACACTTTCATTACAGAAGGGCCTTGATTGAATTCTCAGTAACTACATAATTTACCTGAATATTTCAAATAATTCCTTCAAAGGTCTTCATTTCAGCTATGGAAACCTGACTGGAGAAGGATAATGGCAGAGTATTAGATTTGCTCAGATTTGGATCTAGGATCCTTAGTCCTAAAGATATGCCAAATCGTTTTTCTTTGTACAAATGTGCTGTATTGACTCTGTAGCATTGTCTTCTGAGACTGAATGACAACCTGTTTCACCAAGGTTCCAAAATGCGTTACATGCTTACCAAGTACTTCTTCAGTTGATCAGTTCCATTAATGTTTCTGTTGTTTGCAAAAAGGAAAATGACTGCAAATGGTGGGACATATGCATTTTGGTGAAATGAAACCCAGTGCTTTCTACACAGGGCAACTTGTTCATTGAGGAGGGATTTCTTTTCGTAAGGGAATTTGACCAAAAAATTTCCCTCCTTCTATTTTTTCATCAATAGCTCTAACAACAGAAGCAATCAGTTTCCCTTTTCTGGAAAAGAGTTGAGGAAGTATTACTTCAGGACATCAGGGGAAAATAAATTAAAACAAAACTTGAGTTGTTTCTTCAAGTAGGCAATGAGTCCTAGGCTCCACTGCATACCTCAATACTATCTCTTAAAAAAAGAAGATGTATTCTGGGCTCATATCATTCTATGGCTGTTAAGATGACAGTAGTCTTCCTAGGAAAATAAAAGCTAAGTGATAAGTTTGACAAGAAATATGAGGAACTTTTCATCATGGGTTATTTTTTTTTCTGAGGATATTCCCTCTGTTTCTACTTAACTTTCATAGTTTTGACAATTGTGACCAAAACTTCAATACACAAACCACATTCCCTAAGTTCTTCTGTCCTAAAAACTCTTCTTTTAGTCAGGAGGATTTATTGTTGTTGTTGTTGTTGTTGTTGTTGTTATTGTTTGGCACAAACCAATTCCTTTTTCCCCCCTTATGTAAACACAAGGTGATAAATATTCAAAATCTCATTAAAGAAGACAGAAATGAAGCATGGGACTTGGGAATAATACCTTAAACAATTTAATTGTTTAGCTCATGGCAGGGTCGATAGAGAGTGCTGGGTCTGAAATTAGGAAAACCTGAGTTTAAATCCAACCTCAAACACCAGCTGCATGACCCTGGGTGAACTGCCTAACCTCCATTTGCCTTGACTGTAAAAAAGTAGTGGCAATAATAAGAGCACCTATGAGTGAGTTGTGAGGATCAAATGGAATAATATTTGTGAAAGTGCTCAGCACAGTGACTGACACATAGTAGACACTATATAAATGCTTATTCTCTTCACCTTCATGCCAGTAATTCCCTCCAAATAATAAATGAGAAAACATTTTTTGCTAATATAATAATAGTGAGGATATGCAGTGAGCAGAGTTGTCCAATTATTCATTTTTTTTTCCCATCTCACCCAAAGACTTGTTGCATAGATGAGTTTCTACATCTCTGTCTTTGGAAATTGTTTCAAATAATCTGGAGAGAGAAAGAGAAAGGATAGATATAGATTTTGGCTAACTGAACGCAGAGCCAATCCTTTGACCAGACATGACAGTATTAAATCTATTTCTCTTCTCTGAAAATGCTCCACCTTCAACTGACTCCTCCCAAATGCATTTTCAATCAGCACATTCAGACTAGCAAAGGCCTATGATTAACATTGCTTATAAAGAAAAAGTAAATGTCTAAAACCAAGAAAAGTAAACAGACTTTTCCTGTGCCCAGAGGGAAAGCTTCCAGGTTTCCAGGAGAAAGCCTAAGGGGGTAGGAAAAAAAAGTAGTGTATCACTGCCCTGGAGTCTGTAGTCCACGGAGGTTTTAGACATACCACACCTGGACCAACATTCCTCATTCCCATTGGCTCAATGGGCCAATCAAGCCTCTGTTTCAGGCTTGGTCCCTTTCTTTCTAGTGATTACCTCTGATTATGCTTCTGTTCTCTTAGCTATGTGCATCACTTTTCATGACCTTCCTTTTTCCAGATCCATGTTTCTTTATCAAAGGTCCTAAGAAACCAGGTTTCTCTTCTTTTGCTTCCACATGGAGTGATTTCTAAGGGTTACCTGGGGGCACAGCTTATTATTATTGATTCTTAGTCATACCTGGTTGTTTCCTTTCTAAAACACTCAAAGGACTTGTCAAATGTTTGTTTCTTCTGGAAGATGAGGCTGCATTTTTAGTTAGTTTAACATCTTGTTATCAGCTCCTTTTCTGTGACTAACACCTGAGCTTTCAAGGATCAACTGGAAGGATAAAGAGGGTACAAACTACTTAGAAGTATTTTTCCTACATTCTGAGGACTTGTGATATTGTTATAGGTTCAAATGCTACCAGTTTAGATCCAACTCCATGTTTTCTCATTCTCATTCTTGTCCTTCCATAAACCCTGCATTTTAAAAATTATCCATGGTAGCACTGAAGTTCTTAGATTACTCCTTGATTATCCTCTCTCATGAAATGGCCAGATCACCTCTTTTTCCATTCATAATATCCTTATTGATGTTAGTTTCTCAATTCATTAAGTATTTATCAAGTGCCTACTTGATAGATGCATGGTGATCAATAGGTGCTAGAGATGCAAAGAAGAATAAAAAAAACATCAGTTATTAGAGAGTTTATAATTATAGGGAGAGGGAGCATGTTGTATGGGAGGAGGTAGTATGGCATATAATAGGAGGGAATATGGCATCGTGTATTAATTCCCAAATAAGGAAGATCAAAGTTGAAATTCTGTCTCTGACATTGAGTAGCCAGTTGGTCAATGAACAAGACAACTTAGCTTTCTGTTTCCTCATATTTGAAATGAGGATAATAATTTGTATAGTACCTATCTCAAAGAATCATTGTGAGACTCAGATAATATAATGTAGCATGTAAATAGGATGTGCATAGTTAAATACAAGATAGTTTGGGAGAGAGGGCACTAGTAGTTGAAGAAATCAGAAAAAAGCTTTATGTAGAAGGTAGTTCTTGACCTTCATCTTGAAGGAACATGAGGAGTCTAAGTAAGTAGTGGTGAGAAGAAAGTGCATTCTCTGCATGGCAGCTAGCTGGTACCAGTGTCCCAAGGCAGGAGATGGAGAGTCATGTGTGAGGAACCAAGAAAAGACTACTGTGAACAAAGTCATGCATTTGCAACAGAGATGCCAGAGATTAGGTGTTGTAGGATGGATTGAAGCTAATTGTTCTTGAGGCATCCAGGCACAGAGGAAACTAGCCCTGAAACTTTGGTCTCATTAGTGCATGCATACTCCATGAGTTAACCTGCCACACACATTTTAATGGTTATGGGGGAAAAATGAATGAACTATAATACATTTCACAGTAGAGCAGTAGAAAGCATATTGAACTGGGCACTGGAAGATTTGGATTTCAGTCTTGGCTCTGCAATTTTCTTTGTGACCTTAGGAAGGTCATGTCATTGCTCTAGGTTTCAGTTTCCTTCATGATAAAATGAAGAGAATGAGCTACAAGGTCTCCCAAATTCTTTGATTCTATGATTTTAGAAATATCAGAGAGAGCATTTATATGACAGGCAAACTGCTTGAAGATATGTCTCTATTAGCTTCAAGGAAAAAAAAAGATAGAGTATGAATATGATGGCTAAAGCTGACAGAAGGAAATGATGGGCCTCCCTACTTTGCCTAGGATATAATTTAAATTTGAGTTTGTCAAAGTGGAAGTATGAACTAATAGTACTTGCCAGGACAAGTCCTTCAAAAAGGTAAGTGTACCACCTTTCCCCTATCTGAAGGGAAAGAGAATGAAGGGCATGGAGGCTCTTGAGAAATGTATATAAGTTTGCTGCTGGCTAAAGGTTAATCATTGGCTTCTTTTGTCCTTAGCTTTGAGCAGCTGAGAAAAGTGGCAGTATCTGGAGAGCTCTCTTCATTCAGGTAACTTTTGAATTCTACAGATTATGCTCTTATTAGAACTGAGTTGGGATTTTGGATGTTTATTTGGTTTTACACTCAATTCATTTGAACTTTCTTACTGTTATAAAAAAAAAAACATTATTTTCCGCTTAACAGAGAAGAGATTTGGTTTGGGTGGTTGTTGTCTGCTTTTGTTTTCAAACTCAGAGGCAAGGCTATAGTGGAGGGAAAGTATCTACATTTCTGTTTCAGTAAGTTTTGGGGTATCTGACTTAATCTCCCTATCCTGGAGGTCCTGTGATATATGAATCTCAGAGTTAAGGCTCTGGTAAAAGGAAGGAACCTGCAATCCTTGTTTAGGTAAGTTTCTGAGTTTCAGCTGTAGCACAAGCTGTTGTGTATATAAATAGTACAAAACAATTCTCTGAATTGCTAAGCTGTCAAGTCTTGGTTGGGATGAGAACCAAAAAAGTTTTATAGCAGAACTTTCTATAGAGAAGATTGATTTTTTCCTCCCTAATTTTAAATATTTGCTTTGTATTTCATTCTGGTTAATAATTTAAAAAGTTTACCTAATTTGTTCCATTTTAAATCACATTTCTTATAATATTGAATAAATAGTTTTGCTCAACAATGGTAAAGATAAACAATAACAAAACAATTAAATTTAAATGATAGTTGAGATAATTTGGTTCTACCAGAGGGTCACCCACACAGTTACTCTGATCAGAGAGTAAATGATAGCAGTTTTTCTGTTATTAACAACATGGTTTATTAGTGACAGACCTTTAAAGGTAACAGACACCAAGCTATCATATGTGTGTATACATATATACATACATAGAGAGGGAGAGAGGGAGATGGAGAGAGTGAGAGTGAGAGACAGACACAGAGACAGAGACAGAGAAAGAGACAGACAGACAGAGACAGGCAGAGATAGTCAGAGACAGACAGAGATGGACAGAGACAGAGAGAGGGAAGAGCCTGGTTTCTATTACGTTTAAAGTTTCCATAATAAAATGAAGAGAATAAACTACAAGTTCTCCCAAATTCTTGGGTTCTTGGGTTCTAATTCTAGAAATATCTGAGAAAACATTTTCAAGACAGGCAAAATACTTGAAGATATGTCTCTATCAGAGTCAGGGAAAAAAGATAAGGAGTATAAATATGATAGTCAAAGCTGACAAGGAAATAATGGGCCTTCCTACTTTACCTAGGATATACTTTTATATGCTTTTATTAATAGACTATTTATCTATCTATACATATCTATACATGTTTACATATATGTGTATGTATGTATGTGTGCATATATGTGTGTGTGTGACCTTATACTTTAGAGCTACAGAGTCTCTCTATAAATGCTATCTCATTGTCTTCTGAGCTCACAATGCATGTAGATACCTGTCTGCAAGGCATGGGTGAAATATACTCATCAATTGGCAAAGTTATGAAGAGTTAAGCATGTTCCAAACTTGACTATTGTTACCTTGACTCATTCAGCAAGGGCTCAAGGATAAAAAGATCTTATTATGATTGAATTTAGCCTTGGGTAGCAAAGGCAAGTAAAACACTAGAAACTCAGTAGTAATATTAATTCCTCAGTGGTTCCACCCACACTTCTCCAATTATATTTCTTTCAAATTTAATTTCAACAATAATGATTGTTAATTGTTAAATTTACCAGGAGACAAATGTAGTTAAATGTGGGGTTTTTTTAGTTAAATGTGTTTCTTAAGGAGTTCCTCTATTTTTGTTAATGGAGAACATGTATGTGATCTTTTATAATTTATGAAATAATAGTTTTAAAACTCTATGGGACCATAAAGGTTGTCTATTTCTATCTATAGATATACTTAGAGTAATTGAGAGGCAATGCAGTATAATAGAAAGAGTGCTAGATTTGGAGAGTGAAGATTTGGGACTAAATCTTGACTCTCCCACTTACTAGTTGGTTAATAATGGATAGATCACTTAAAACCTTGTGAGCCTCATTTTTTTTTCATCCATAAAATTAGGAGGTTGTTGTATTTGTCCTTCATTCTCAAATAGGACCATGACATCAGGGAGGCGATGACATGACTTGTATTTGACTTTAATTTGAGTGAGGGAGGGCTGTGCCAGGTCACCAACCTCACTTTCTCCTTCACAGCCATCTTGGTCCCGTGGCCAGATATTCATCAGGACCATTGGAGATGGCCCAGGATGCATTGAGAGACCCTGGCTCTTTTAGGCTAAGGTCTTTTCAGGTTCTCTCTTTGAGTAGGGCAACAACACCCATTCAGTGAATAGGCCTCTTTAAAAAGTGAGTCAAGGGATGGCGCCTTTAATCAAAATCAAACTGGGAGGGGAAGACCCTCAGAGTTGCTGGCCAAAAGAGAAACATGCTCTGGAGAAAAAAAAAGTTGAGAGTTAGACTAAAAGGCCTTTAGGATCCACTCCTACTCTAAAAATCTGTGACTTTTTTTTGTACATAGAGGAATTTATAGGTTTATTTTGCTTGACTATGATGATTTGTTCCTAGGGAGAACATTCAGTCATCTATTCATTTGCTTATGTTTTGATAGAGAATTGGAAGGATAAGAGGGGTAGAGAGGATGATGAAAGAAAATAAAAAGGAAAGCACATCAACGAAGCATTTAAATACACAAAAGAGAACCGAAGGTAGTTTAAGAAGAAAAGCAAACAAGCAGGGCAGCTTTGTAATTAAATATAATTTGTATTTAGCTTTGTAATGAATTAATTTCTAATTAAGTACTCAATATACTTTAAAAAATCCAAATAGTACATGAACGATTCACAATTTCATATGCAACTCTTTTTTTCTGTTCTTTTTTGTACATGGAAATGTTCATATTTGTTGATGCTTGTGAGATTCAGAATAGCAAAAAGTAAAAATGTAATTAAGAAAAATTATGAACCTAATGGTTTTTTAAATTTTTTTTTACATTTTTTTTTCTTTTTTAGGCAATTGGGGTTAAGAGACTTGCCCAGGGTTACACAGCTAATAAGTATCAGGTGTTTGATCTGAGATCGGATTTGAACTCAGGTCCTCCTCCTGACTTCAGGGCTGGTGCTCTATCCACTGCACCAACTAGCTGCCCACTTCAGCCTAATGGTTTTTAAAACATGAGTGCATTGTTGCTTATTAATGTATAGCTAGTATAGTTTAAACTTGTCAATAGAATGCAATGCCTATAATTGTATCCTTTAAGCTGTACATTACTATGTTAATATTTATCTAACCTTTATTCTTAAGAAGGATTAAGCAAGACTAGATAATCAGGTCAATTCTGGTTCTGTGGAGGATCAAAGGAAGTTGACATCAATCTATTTTACAAGTTAAAAATTTCAATGGGCAAAAATGCTACAATTAAGAGAATTGAAATAAAAAAATACTGTGTGTGTGAATTTATATTTATATGTCTATATACATATACACATAGGGGTAAATGGGGTGTTCAAGCAGGACTAGCACCTCTGGTGTGAGGGCTTGCTGAGCTCTTTTCAGGACTGCTCATCCACCTCTGATGTCTAACTGGCACTCAATTCTCACCTGTGACTCCAAGAAGCTATGGCATGCACAGTAGCCACAACCTAGTAAACAGTCTGGGCAGGTTGGCTAAACCACATTGAAGGTAACTAACTGATTGGCCTCAAACCCATTGGTGAGTTGGGGTAGGAGGGTCCCACTCCTTGCGACCAAATTTGAAGTTTTCTTGGCAAAGCTACTGGAATGGCTTGCCATTTCCTTCTCCGACTCATTTTACAGATGAGGAACTGAGGCAAATAAGATTAAGGGCCTTGCCCAGGGTCATAAAGCTAGTAAGTATCTGAAGTCAGATGTGAACTCAGGAAGATGAGTCCTCCTGATTTCAGGCCCAGCACTCTGTTGACTGCACCATTTAACTGCCCATTTTGGTCTTTATTTAGCTTCAATAAATTATGTTTGATAATAATGAATTTTATTTTGGCAATTTTAGACTACTGATTCTTAATTTGTGTCTAATAAGAAAAAATACAAATTCATTTAAAATTATTACTGAATTCACAGTAACTTGTTATCCTTTATTTTCTCATGCCAGTAGGAAATTACTATAATGTGGGATTCTACATTAAGAAAGGGAACAAAAACTTGCATAAGTTCAGAACCACTCTCCTAAGTACAAATAGTAAATGAATTTTATTAAACTCTTACTATCTGTTAGGCACTAGTCTAATTACTGAGGATATAAAGGAAAGGCAAAAACATGATATTTTGCCAGAAGGAGTTCATATTGCAAGGTGGTCCAATAGATAAAGCACTAGACTTGAACCTGAGTTCAAATGCTGTGTCAGGCATTTATTATCTGTATGCCTTTGGATATGTTACCTAATTTCTTTCATGCTCAGTTTGTTCATCTATAAAATGGGGTTATAATAACACGTCTCTACTGGGTTGCTGTGAGGATCAAATAAGGTAAGATATGAGAAGTTCCTTACAAACCTTAAAGTGCTATAAAATGACAGTTATTGTTATCATTATTGTTGTTGTTGTTGTTGTTGTTTTTATCAAATTAGGGTAGTTTGGATGAAAAGTCAGCTTATATCTTTACAAGGGTGGCCATGAAATCACTATTGATATGACATGAAATCAATAATCTTTTTATTATCTTTTGGGAATAAGCATTTATTAAGCAATTACTATGTGCCAGGTACTTTGTAATGATCTTATTTGATACTCATAACCACCCTGTGAGGTAGATGCTATTATCTCTATTTTATAGTTAAAGAAACCAAGGCAGACAAAGGTTAAGTGATTTGCCAGTCACATAGCTGGCAAGTTTCTGAGGCCACTTTAAAACCAAGGCCTTTCTGATTCCAGGCCCAGTGCTCTATCCACTGTACCATCTATGTGCCAATAAAGTAATGCAGTAAATTTCAAACCACTAATAAAGGAATGCATAAAAATATTGGGCTTTTCATCGTTATTAGTGCTGTACATTGGGAAAAGTACTCTGTTTGGCATTGAAGGATTTTTG